AACCTGATGACATCTTTGTTTAATTCTTTGATGCCAGTAAAAACGGAGCTCTGGTGGGGAAAGTCCCTAAGGACATAAGGGGTCATCTATTCCCTACAGTAGCTGTACATAGCCAGAATGAGGAGTATGTTCGCATTTTCTCTTTGATGTATCCCCTCTGTTGGCTGCTAGCATTTTGAGCTCCACCGTTCAGTAGGAGTACTTACACGACCTGTTTGTTCTGAAATTTTTGCAGGGTTTCTGTAAATTTTGGGCAGAAGAAGTATGTTTTCGATATTGAGGTAAGAGCAAAATCCTTGTTAAAAATTGTATATTAGTGGAGTCGCTAGGCCTTAGCTCTATATTAAAGTGGGATGGTGTAATCAGGAGTACAGCTATTGAAAGAACAGAATAGGTATGCATCATGTCCATGCTTGGAACTGGGGTTATGAAATCTTAGCAGTGGTTCTCTTGGTACACATGCACTCACATTTGCTAGACATTCATCCTCTGATGTTACTGTGGGATCAAACCTCAACTACTTGAACCCTCGGATTATACATCTATATGTTCTGTTAAAATATGAAGTAGAACATGGAAGTTTACGACTTGACCTCCCCTTTCTCTCTCATTACTTATATGTTTGAAGTTAAGTTCTGATTAGGGCTGTCACCCTCTTTCTGTATTATTAGGGATATGAAGCATCAGAGAGAAATAAGCAACAAATGGCTATCGAAAAAATATCCATACCTCCAAACATAGGTTATGGGTGAGTACACTCCTTCCCAGCAGAAACAGATAATTTACTTTGCTGACTGAATTGCAAACTTTCTGCTTTATCTAAAGTATTATTATCTTTATCATTAGGCTTATAAAGACATACTTGCTACACTATGGGTATGAGGAGACACTTAATGCTTTCAACCTTGCTACTAAAACTACAGTACCTCCAATCTGTATAGCTCAAGAGAATGCTATTGATGAGGATGATTCATCATATGCTTTGAATCAGAGAAAAACTCTTAGACAGGTATTGAACTTGTTCGAATGTGCAATAAAATATTACTGGCTCCAGTTTAACAAATAAGACCTGCTAGTCTTTAACTTTACTACTCTTCAAGTATCTGGCAGTTTTTGGTTCCTATTCAGAATCGAACAAAAGTACTGCTTCCTTTGGGTAATTTTGACTGATCCGTACTTTCATTATAGCTTGTCAGGAATGGTGAGATTGATGCTGCTCTGACTGGACTCCGGGACTGGTATCCCCAACTTGTACAGGTGAACTGGAATTTCCTGTCATATCGTTTGTTTCATATATTCAAGATGATCTACTTCACAGAATTGAGATACAAACTCTTACCTAGCTGTACTTACTGCAGGACGATAAATCAGTAGTTTGTTTCCTCCTTCACTGTCAAAAGTTTATTGAATTAGTACGGGTATGCTCTTCAATCCTTCTCCATCGAGGTTTCACGTTTTTGATATTTATCAAAGAGTTCAATCTTTAAACTAAAGAAAATGAATGCAACCTCGTGCATCTTTTGGTGTATAAAGAAATATTACTACGAACCAATCTATAACACACTGGAAACTATGTTAAGGTAGATTCCATGTTATTATGCAAAGTACTTCTATAATCTTTGATAAAGCTGGGTGCAAAATCGAATACCTAGATAAAAATGCACAGTAGTACTTCTTCACCGAGTAGGCTGAGTATCAAGTCTTTATAGCCACATTTGAGTTGGTTCCCTGGATTTTTTTTTCCGTTCACTTTCACATATATGGTGGTTGGACAATTTCTCTAATTATGGTTCTGGAAAAACATGGCATAAGCAGGTCGGAAAACTTGAAGAAGGTGTGAAGTATGGCAGACTGGAGCTAGCTAAATTTGTTGGGTTAGCCAGGTTTCAAGATATAGTGGAGGTACCAATTTGTCTATATTCCTTTTTCTCCTTCAAGCAATATCTAGTTCCTCGAAACGTGCATGTATTACCGGGGTTCAAATACAGAGAGATTCTATGTTGCTGATCTCTTATGAACTCGATTTTCTTATTGAATATCCAGGAGTGCTTTGCTTTGCTCGTGTATGAAAAGCCTGAGGAATCATCGGTCGGGTACTTCCTTGAAGACTCGCAGAGGGAACTAGTGGCTGATGCAGTGAATGCAGCAATTCTATCAACAAATCCAAATAAAAAAAATGAGCAGAGAAGCTGTAACTTGCATTCCCCTTTGGAGAAACTGCTCAGACAGCTAACCGTGTGCTGTTTGGAAAGGCGTTCGTTGAATGGAGACCAAGGCGAAACATTCCGGCTTCACCATGTTCTTAACAACAACAGAACAAGAAGATGAAACCGGATTAGCCTCGCATATCTTTTGAAAAGCTCTGGTTTGTTTGTTATTTTTATCATCATCATGTGGCTTTTGTTCATACCTGTGTCATAATAGAATGTTGAACTTTGCATTTTGTAAAAAAAAAGGTTAAAAAAAAAATTAAGTCTACCGACTTTAACATTGGGGCGTGCATTTATTTTTGTCCAAAGTTTAGATTATTCAAATTATGTTTGTTTCAATATTCGTGCCTCTACAGTTTGCAAGAGATGGCAACAACAAGGCTTATTTCGAGCTTTTTTTGGCCTCATGGGAAACTTAGCTAGATAACCAAAAATTAAAGGGAAATAAGGAAAATAGCAAAACAATAGGTAATTCACCAAAAAAATGTCATTTTCCTAATTCC